CTTCACAAAGTTTGTTGTTGCAAGGCCAGTATGAGTCTAATGTTTTGGAGGCACCACCCTCCCTTGACAGTGACCGAATTCAAATAGTTGAATCGGTGGTTTAATCTTGAACAATAGGTTCTGACTCTTCGTCACATCCCTCAGAACGATGAGGTATGATGAGGTAGTTGATGGACGTTGTTACAAATGCCAAGTTATCTCAACTCCCTGATTTGGCCGTAGTGAGATCATCGCCTTGCTTCAACTAAATCGCTGTGTATTTCATTGGCAAGAGTGAAATGGCAAAGATGAGATGGTGGTGGATGTTGAAGCAGATGATTTATGAAAAAGAATTATTCAACTTGGTCCGTAACTTCGCTTCGCCAACATTTGCATTCAAAGTGTAATCGCTGTAACTAATGTAATTAGCTCGGCGAGCATGTGCGACTAATGAAATCTTGCCAGAAACATGGCGTGTTGGCGTCACATGACGAATACAAAAGCGTCGTTAAGACCGGACAACAGCGAAGAACCGGTAGCAATAAATTTATGCATATTTGCGTTGGCCCCATAACTCCCATTGATGCTCTTTATGGAAACCGATTGAGAAATTGACGAATGTTCGTGGCATCGATTTGGTTCAGCTTCTTTACCTCTGATCGACGAATGATACCCGTTTGTTGTGACACGTTGCCAAAGTGGTCGGTATCGAACTGTGAAGGTGTCCGGTCCGATTCCGGGGGAAGGCAGTCATAGTCTTAACAGCAAATTCCATGGAGCAAGGAATTTACGACGCGTTACTTAAAACCAGGGTTATTCAGTCGGTAGATGGTCGTACTCAGAATCGAGAGGTCTCAGGTTCGAGCTTCCGTCAGGGTCACTGGCCTTTCTTTCTTTTGATATCGATAAATGAGCACTATTCTACACATTACAGATGACTACACACTAGGCTTATCAGGAGACAGCATACAGTAGCCGCTGTCGATTCTGACTTTAAAACTAGGGCACTTTTGGTAGATGGAATGGAAATAAAGATCAACGTTTCATCATTATCCTCATGAAAAGAAAAACACCAGAAATGGCTCTATTATGAAAGTGTACGGCATGTCAACGTTCCAACGGTTACAGAAATTGATTTTTCCTTTCAGGTTGCACAATAGTTGTTTTTCCAAAAAATTCGTTATAGAGTCCTAGGTAGATTAGCAAGGAATTCATCGTCTCGTCACAGATTCATATCGCTAGTACATTAGCAAAATAATTTGAATGTTATATTTGCAGTGAAAGTTTCTTATGAATCGCATGCAGCACGGTTACACGTAGCACCAGGACTCGATTAACGTATCTATATAGATAAAGTGTAAGAAACCTTTATTTTAAACCTATCGAATCTCTAATGGTGGCATCGAGCAATTTTGAACGTTTATGATAACTTTATCCATAGGTCTGTTTCCAAGTAGTAATAATCACACGAATGAAATTCATACGAATTAATATAATTATCTCTTTACAGCGGGACGGCCAGATGGTGCATAAACTTACATTACATTTTCTCCGTACTGCGCTTTACAACTGACTTGAATAATATTCCTTTCTTTCCATATGAAGGTGTCATCTATCCACATCGACATTTGAATCTTCTTTCATCATAATCCGCGAGTCACTTGCTTCTTGGCAATGACAGAAGATCCAGGAAGTTATGACAAAAAGATTCAACAACGGAACAATGTTCAAAAGGGTTATTGTTGCTCGCGGTAACCCAGATCGCATCGACTATCCGTAGGGTGACAGACCCATAGCGGTTTCACCCCTGTCTCACTGGCCTTCTTCAAGGTAAATCGACAATAGTTTGAAACCGGCAGCTTCGCTGATCTTGAGATATGGTTTGAAACCTGAATATCAATTTACCATCTGCTAGAACATACGGATGGCGCTGTATAATAATGAACCATTTTGTGATGGTTGCCAATACTAGTACCAACGCAAGAAAAATTATTCTAAAATGATTTTGTATGTTTTCCTCAAATATAAATTGGAATGAAAGAACCCATATTATACGCGTATGTCCTGGTATGTAGTTAAACTGTCATTCTTTTCCTTTATATCAGCACAGATAAATTAAAATCATAATCAAGTTAATGATAATGACAAATGATCTGCTCTTAAGTGAATCTGCCTAGAGATCTAGAAACGATGTCAACCGTTAGATGTCTGAGGATTTACGAATTTTCATGACGGCTGTTAGGGCAGCAATATATGTGAAACATTCCACTTACCCCGCCCTCCATTGTGTTTCACTTGTTTTCTCTCATTTCCCACCAGATAAAGGTAATAAATTGGATTGTTAGAAGGGAATTTAGGATTCTGGGAGGGGCGGCGGTACAGTGGTAAGTCGAAAGCTTTAAACTTCGGATCTGCAGGTTCGAATTCCAACAAGATAGTTATCTTTTAGCCGCTAATTCCATAAATGCAAATGGTTGAGAAAGTTGTCGTAAGGCGTTAAGTTGCGAATAACAAGAATAAGGCGGTGTTGAGCTGTGGCCATGTCCGAATTGGCTAGACGTATGACCCTGTCATCTGAGGTGAATGCCTCTCAAGGCTGTAGTTCGCCTCGATGCATGTGATTGTTACACTGCCCAGTGTAATGGCCAATACGGGGTGTAAACGAAGGTAAATCATTCATGATAAAGTTCATGCCGCTGTCATTATTTGATTCATAATTGTTCTGAACTGTAACACTTAAATCAAAAGACATGCTTAAGTTTTTCTTCTAGCACTAGACCTTGGGTTTTAATAATTTCAGTATCTTTCAGATTGCGATTCATGGCTACGTAGCTTTCGGAAACGTGATGGATAATGGCATCGACCTGCTGATTGGCGAAAACGTGCTGAACTGGCCGCAGTTCCCTGATCCCCCAATCATATCCGTGTACGGCTGTCTGCAGAAACCAATTATCAACGCCGCCCGGGATCGCAAGGGCGTCCACTACCGACTCGTGTTTCGACGCGAGGTGTTTTCACAACTGCCTCTTGTTCAGAAGACCCAGTTTTCAAAACGGACAACTCTGAACTACTTGGATGACCAGGGCGATGAGTTCCTGGACATGGTGTGGCGTGATTTGAAAGGTAAGCGATCGATATTAAGTTCTGATACATTGTTGCTCATGGGATGGCACCAGGTGAAGTGCCAATATTAAGTACAGTGAAGTATATTTTTATTGGAAGCGACGGAATCCATAAATAACTGTCATTAACATTCGTTTTGCTGAAAGACACTTATCATCAACCGGAACCGCAAAGTCTAAAGGCACCGTAGAAACTAATCTTCATACTGTTTCATGAGGTATCGCACAATTCACCATCTAAGCAGAAGATTTGGAGTGTACCAAATGTCCGTTTTCGCAGAAATGATAACAATAAAGTTATTAGAGAAAAGATCATTTAAAACGTAGCTAAATCAAATATCATGGCATATCGAACCAAATCGATCGTAGTTGCCTAGAAGTCAGCAAAACTTGCGTCAACTCTGCTGCATTTGATAAATCCAAAATGATATTTAATAACAGAAACATCTAATGTTGTGTCTGATTTCCTTCCTAACCTCTTTCCCTTCAGATGGCATGGTTGGCGCTGGTAGCTTCAGACCAGATGCTGCATTGGTGGTGACGTGGGAAAACGTAACTTTCTACCAGGCCTCAGAGGAAGACGAAATGAACGGAAAGGTACATTCTCTGCCACTACGGAAATATTCCTGATTTAATCCCTTCGTTAGATTGCTACCTACCAACTGGTGTTCATGA